ATTCTGTGATTCTGTGATTCTGTGGTATGCATCCACACACATATGCATTTTTTGCAGGTATTATTGACAGCACCCAGGTGGAACAGAGGCAGGTTGTAGCTGTGACCGGTGATGGAACCAATGACGGACCAGCGCTGAAAAAGGCTGATGTTGGCTTTGCAATGGTATCATCTTGAGCATGTTCATTGATATTTGTGTCATTATAAATTTCCTGTAAGAGGTTTTTCATTCATTCCGTGTTGAGAAAGTTGCTCAGTTATTACTTGTCAGTGAAGCAAGATATTAGAGGAGGCAAATTATGTTGCTTCAGAATCCTTTCATTTACTATGTTAGATTCACTGGCATTGCGTGGTTTGGTACTTTTTCAGTATTTTGCCTAAGGTAATTATTGGCTATATGCAGAATCCTGTGCGGGTACAGAAAAATTAATTTTGCTCATCACAACAGTGGAGTACTATTTTGCTTTGGTAAAATCCATTACTAAATGTAAAGGTGTCTTCCCAACGTACTCTGACTCTGAAGACGTTAATATACTAGACTATAAATTAAGATACGTAATTGTAATTTTAGCTATCAATTCTGTTAATGTATATTAATAAAATATCATCAGTGATAAAAATAGCTCAGAAGATCAGTAGTCATTAAACTGATGATTTAAAACACTCAAAACTATCATCACATGAATTCCACTGCTATCAACTCCCTTCTCTGCATCCTTATTCGCTTTCAAAATAGGCCAAATTAGCCAACTTCCCAGCAAATTTAAAATGCAGAATATACTCAGCAGTCGCTGTTGCTATGCTGGTGAGTCGTTCTATAACTGGACTTTGAATGAGTATGAGGATTTGTATTCTAACCGTCTCTGTACTTTCCAGTAGGTAATTTTATTCACAATTAATTTTTCCAGGGTATTGCTGGCACAGATGTTGCAAAGGAAGCCTCAGATATCATCCTAACAGATGACAATTTCAGTAGCATTGTGAAGGCTGTAATGTGGGGACGTAACGTCTATGACAGTATCTCCAAGTTCCTGCAGTTCCAGCTCACTGTTAACATTGTGGCTGTGATCGTGGCTTTCACCGGCGCATGCATTACCCAGGTAAGGTTAACTTCAGGAGCTGCTTAAAGTATGGGGCCAAATCCTGCCAAGCTACATTTTCTTTTAAGTGACCGTGGCTTACATTTGATTCGTACTTTGTCCAACAGAAAGTATGCTTTCTGAAATTCTTCTGAACATTACAGTGTTAGGATCAAGCTGCTAAAGTTAAATAGCTGTTTATGTAAGGAAGTGTACTAATCCATCTTCTCCTTGAAGTAAATTGCTTTCAGGAGCTGCTAATTTTTGTGCTGCCTCCATGCAGCTGCCTGTTTTTGATTACATATTATTGTCATGACTGAGCCTGTGATGATAGGACAGAAAATGTCTGGGACTGGGAGAAGGAAGAGGTTATGTGACTTTGTCTTTTCCTCTCAGAATATTTCACTGTTAAATATCTATTGCTTGATGGATTATGGAATGGGATTATTATTTTCAAGAGAGCGGTACTGACACACAGAAGTAATCCCAGCAGGGGAGCTTTTTGACTGATAAAACAATTATTTCTTTTTGCTTTCAGGCAATTCCTTTTGATTTCAGATGCAAATGACAAACCAATTAAGTGACACATACGGTTAAACTTTGATTTCTTTTTGTCTCTCTACATTCATTGCAATCCTGGTGTATGTGCAACGTGTCTGGGTCTTTTACAAAAAGCATATGTAGAAGCAAACCACATTTTTTTCTCTTCAAATGACTACTTTTTGATTAATAAAATTAAGTTTTCTTTTCCCTAGAAACAAATAAGGATGTATTTAGCACTGTATGAGGTTTTTGTCCTTCCTTAGAAAATAGCAAAACGTGGTTTTTTAGTGTTGTCATTCCTTACAATAATGTATATTTCAGATGCTGCGGACATGTGCTGTTACAAAATCCCTCCTTTGATTGAGACACACCATGGGAAAGCTGATGCTTCCCTCTGTTGTGCATCATACAGATGCACATACCTGTTTCAGCAGGTAAATTTCACCCCCTGCAAACCTGAGCAAAACAATGAATAAGTCATTAGCTCTGCTCCAGGCTAAACTTACATCGTAATCATGGAATTGATACCTGAAACCAGAAACCCAGGTACCTTTACAAAACCATTAAGTGAAACTTCTCCTAAGCCCTGACTGACGTTTAGAGGCCTTTTCTGTACTGCACAGGAGCAGTCTGCACGCTCCCAGCTCCTGCCAGCGGCATGCAGCAGCTGGGCAGGTACAACTGGCAGCATTTAACATGAGGCTGGTGCTAGGGCTGGGACTCGCAGAGAAATCAGAAATGGCTGGTTTTGAAGCAAGTAGAATATAACTACTTTATTCTGTACAAAGGAAGCACTGAAACTTCATTAGTTTTCCAAGAAGTAAAAATTGCGAGCTGCTAAGCGCCAGATCCCTACCCCACTGCCTCTGGGTCCTGATGATACCTCGTTGTCACAGCTGAGTTTGTGCTGGGGGACAAAATCCCTGATGTTGAGGCAGAAGATGGATAACTTTTCCTTTTCCCTTGAGAAATTTTCCCAAGTATATTCAGAAAATGTGTAGATGTGAAGTGATTGCTGCTAGTAACAGAAGGGATGTGAATGAGGACTAGAAGTCTGGAAGGTCGATCTTCCTGGATTCTTATCAGTGGTACAAAACCATAGAGGAAAGGTGGTAACAGTAACAGAATTGGAACTGAGGCGAGTGCTTCCTTTTAAGACTGTTTTATAGACATACAGTCACTGCCTACTAACATTTATTTAAGATGTTTTTTGGTTTTTTTTGTTTGTTTGTTTAGTGTCCAGCATTTTTTCAATTGCTTTCTGAAAGCATGACAGGAAATTACATTCTGTTTGTTACCTAAGGAATTTCTGGTTTATTCTTGCAGACGTTAAACATTATTAAATCAGAGCAGACTATTTTAAGTCAAGTCTAAGTGCATGTGCAGTGTATAATCAGTGCAAGCATATTCTCCTTTCTAAATCTGGAACTTTCTTCATCCTTTGAACCATTCCATTGGCTTCCAGAAGGATTTGGATCAAGCCTAGTGCTTTTACATTGCCCCAACGGTCTGTAAGACCATCCCCGAGCCTGTCAAGTCTATTGTCCCTGTTTAGAGGTTTTAATATACACCAGCTGGAATTGCTGTATTTCTGTCCAAATAGATTCTTATGCAATTCTTTAATTTGGCAGTAAAAATGCAAATCCAAAGGAAGAGGTCTGAAAGGAGCTACAACTGAAATTGTAGCAAAAGGCAGCAGTTATTTCCATTGCAGTTCTGTTTACATTCAACAGCCTGACTGCTCATAATCTCAAGTAGCTCTCAGTTCTGGCTCATTCAAGAAGGATCCTTCCTTATGAATGAATATTATTGTGCTAGGCTTTGACTCAACGTCTCTAGCCAGTGAAAGGGCATTATGTTTGTTTGGCTCATAAGCTTTACTAAAAATTACACTTGAGGACATATTGTACCTTCTGGTTGCTATGAAAATAGCTCTAGCACCAAATGCAGGAATACTCTAAAAAAATCCTGCATACAACAGGCTAGGTGCACACACAGAGACTGAAGTCTGCAAAACTGTACGTGGGTCTTAAATTACTATTTTGACTGAAACATTTAAGTTCTTACCAAACAAATGAAGCTAAAATCTGTAGTTTCTAAAAGGCAACACAGCTTTCTGTGACTCTCAAAATTAATAAGAAAAGGACTGCATTGGACTGAATTGGACTTTACTTTTAGGTAGTCGGTTTGGCTTTCTTTGACACACAGAATATAATTTTAGTCCACAATTAATGAATATTGCACAGGCTACTCTTGGTGAGGTTTCATCAAATCTAGAATGAGAAAAATTCTATGTAGGTAGTTACATTTCTTTCATGCTTCTTAATGTCACCTCTCAGCGATTCAGAACCAGCATACTGGGCTGCTTTGAGTACGAAGCTGCTTTTATGCTCACCTGCTCTGTTTGGTGTTTCTGCTGTTTGTGCTTAAAGGAAGTACAAAAATAATAAAATCTTTGTTTTGACTAATTTTTTTTAACATTTGACTTGTGCTTTGCAACTATATAGACTTAATTTTATTCAGTCTTGATCCTGCAATTGCATGGGTGTGCGTGTAAATACGTTTATGTGGTCATATCACTGCAGGACTCCTTGTGAAACCACAGCAACTCTGTATTAATGAAAGGGTCCGACTGTGTGAGTACTATAACAAGTGAAACGAGACCTCCAAGGAGCACCCAGAGAACGCATTGCCAAGCAGGAGCTGGTTTGTTTGGTCCAGAGCACCTTAGGAGTGCCATGGAGAGGCTTAACAAAAATGTTAGGTAGAACCTGTGATCTTTATTGGTCATTTTAATAATCTGCTGGGTTTTTTTTTTCCCCCTCAAATACATAAATAAAATCTGTGTCTGCCAATTCCACTTCAGGGAACTACTGTTTAGTTAATTCTGTTAATTTTAGGCAAATATTATTTTATTATTTATCTTCCCAATGGCCTCCTTCAGCAGTGGGCTATTAAAGAAGTATTATGCAGACTACATGGGACCAATGCAAATGGTCATTTGCTGTTCTCTGTCACGGGTCCCAACACAAAGTCACGTTAAGGGGACAGAAATCATATTCTAAGCAGCATAGGAGTTACAGATGCAGTGTCACCTCTTGGCAAGCTCAGCGCAGCTGCTGCCAAAACTAAGCTGACCCTCAGAGGGATCTAACTTACATTGGCCCCAGTTTCAGTTTACAGCAGCTAAATGTATAAACCAAAAGTTGTGAATTTTCAACTAATTGTGAACTTCTGTGTTGTGATTCTATAATAACGTAAGGCACTCTGAGATCTGGGTCATACAAGAAAACCAACCTTAAATAAGCCTCTTGGTTAAAAGCTGAATCAGGATCACTCCCTCTGTGGCTGCATGGGGGCTCTTGATTTGGTGTCCGGTGTGTGCATGGCACCCCCAATGAGATCACAGCTGTTATTTCTGCTAGTCCCAGGTCTGTGCAGTTTGGGTGGCACGATGCAGCTGAGTTGTATTGATTCATCTTACCTTTTAATTAATCTAATTAATTTACCTCTTGCTTCCTTCTCTCTGTGTTTCCCCATGCATGCTTTTAAAATGAGCAGGGTGTGGTCATCTTGACCAGTTTGCATGTAGTTGTCCTTTCTGTTTAACAACCATTATTTCATAATTTCTTTTTCCAGTGGATTTATGAGATATAAACTGTTATATTCTGACTTCATTCTCTGGATAACATTTTTGCAGAGCCCTTGATTGACTCAGTGAGGGTTCTTCTTTGGAGCTCTGCCTTCAATTATTTTGAATTTTGTACTTAAAGCAGTCATTACTTCCCATCTCTAGGTATCATATAGAGCTCCATACATGCCTTAAAAGCCAGAAGGTTCATCCTGTTTCCTGTCCCCAACATACACACAGTACCAAGAAAATATTGGGTCATTATGTTTGGAGCTGTTAAAAATAATCTGGGTATGTACAACATAAGATTTAAAAATGCAGTTCAGTCAAATGGAAGCAGTTTTTTACTGGAACTATAAAGCTAGCAGGTTTATCTCCGTGCCAAATTTTATCTGTGTCTCCAACTGCTGAAACAACATAACTGTTCAAAAAGGTTGCATTAAAGAAAGAGAAGACAAAGACTGTGTTTTAACATTTTACATTCAAATTATTATTCTTGTAGTTTGAGAAAGACTTAATGTTTTAGAAGACATTAGGAACTGAAAACAGTGACTATAGGACATTATGTTTGGAAAATTAAATGTTAATTAAAAAGCACTGTAGCAATGAAGTACCACATGAATCACTTACTGTTTTTACAGATCTTGTTCAAAAAATGAGGATGATCTATACTTTCATGTATAAGGCAGTAATTTACATGGCAATAGTGTTTTACTGCAGAACTGTATTTGGCAAATCCTAAAATAATAGCATTGGCAAATTTGAAAAAGCTATAATATAAAATCCCAGTATGTGCATGGAAAATAGAATTGAGGATGCCACTTCCATAGAATTAGTAGACAGCGTGATCCAGCAGCAGAAGTGAGGGCTGACATTTTTTCACGGTGATGTATATGAAGTGAACCTACCAGAAATGCCCAGTTTTATGAATCCATGCATGTGTTCTGTGACAAGTGGGAGGAAAGAGGTTAAGGGTGAAAATACCTTTTTATTCCCTTAAGCTTGTCATCTAAATCAAAAGTAACAAGCTCTAAAATTTGTGAGGCTCTGCATGTCACAGAAGATTTGTAGTTTATTTCCAGCCTTTGGTGACTTGTACTTCTAAGCGTTTCCAAAATGAAGTGTAACATCACTTGATTTAAGGGACATTTTCCTTTTACCTCTAGGCCAATGCTAACCTACTGCAAGGTCAAGTGGAAAGGGATTTGACAAAAAGTGGTGATTTTGGGTGGTTTTCAGTTTGAACAGCTTTGATCCCTGAAGTTTTCAGAAAGTGAAATAAGATATTATTAGCTAGTCTGTTGGTGGCTAAAATGCAATGAAAAAATGTTGAATTTGCGTCCCAATTGCATAAGTGACTAAAATCTGTAATGGAAGACTAGGCTCCTTAGCTGATATGTATTTTCCTCAGTTTCCACCAACTAATCAGAAATCAGATAGAGCTGCAGTGGAAATTTCTTTCCACTGCCTGCCCAGACTAATGTGTATTTAATGTTTTGGCTTCAGCTTAGAGTGAGCTTTCACACTTGACTGAACAGTGTAGCACTGCCAATAACAGATAATTATTAGAGGCACCATAGCCACCCAAGGTGATTGGCAGTGTGAAATGGTGAGAACATGTTGTTGCCAAACCTGTTGACTGCCAATTACAGTTGTGTGATTTAAAGACTGAAAGAATCTGACTTTTCATTATGCTAGGAATATGTCAGGCTCTGACAGACACCTGACTATTCGACTCTATTTAGTAAGTGTAACAGACAAATTCAGTTTTAGCGACACAGAAGTCAGAGAATGATGTGGTTATTCAGCTGTTGTAACATCTCAAAGTAGAGGTTGCTTCTCAAGGTAAAAATACAACAAGGAAGATTCTTCAAGTAGAAAACATGTTTTCCTTTTCCTCTATATACTGTGTCCAAGCCTAGGGTCTCTGAGCCCTAGCAAAACTGCTTTTAGTGCAAGTATCTCTTTCTTTGAGCCATTACTATTAATAACAATAAATGAGGCCTCAATGCGGAACAAAGTTTGTCCTCATTGCTCTTACTCTTTTAGCCACCTCTAAAGACAAAGACGTTTCCTGTTTCTGCAGCTGCATATCAAATGAGTGAGCTGCACTCTCCAGATAAGCCCAGTTAATGCAACCCATAACCAACAGGTCAGAATCCATTAATGCTAATCTTCCTCCCTTCTCTGATGTAGCCAACTTGTAAGACTTATAAACAGGAGGTTGCTTTTCTCCATCCCTTTGAATGAGGAAAAATGAATATTTTAAATAAAGAAAATGTATCAAAATTTGTGTAAATGTAAGGGTGTTAAAAATACATTTTCAGTAGGAAATAATATTTTGTCTCAAGGGAGAGTTGGAATAGAAACCAGATCTACAAGAGACCAAACCACTTACCCTTCTTCTCCATATGTCCTTGGGATACTGAATGGATAATGGCTCTCATTATTTGATAATATTTAATTAAAAATGAACATTTAAACCTTTGAAGAAAAGGGCAGAGTTTATAAGGTGTTTCTGTTGGCTTCGTTCTGGCCTGTATGCAGTTCTGTAAATGTCTTTGCTTCACTACTGCAGCACCATGGTAGTCTAATGCATAAAAATAGTTCTCTGATCTTCCAGCTTTCGCACTGTCGATGAACTCCTTTCCATTATAGAATTTGTCATAGTGAGACCTTATTACTTTTGCGATTCTATTTTCCTAATTAAAACCATCTATTTGAAATAGGAAGCAGACCTTACTCATGCTGCCTGTTTTCTGTTCGGTCTAAAAGCAAAGGAGGTTGGTAGATACAAAAAAAGAACCTACTTCATTTTTCCTCATGGGGCTCCTTGAAGTAACTGTATCTATTATTACAGCTGCCCCAATGAATTACAAATCAAAACTTTATACTACTCATCTAGAGTTCTCCTGAGATCTGTGTTAGTTTGTTTTATTTATTTACTTTTGGGTTTTTTTAAACGTGATCTAAAGTCCTCGGTACCGCAACCATAGACTCCTTGTTGAATTAAATGAGGAAAGAGCTCCTTCTAGCGGTTGGCGATCTGCTTCAGAAAACAAATACTTCATCCTGACAAGTAGTAATGTTTTCTTTTTTTTCTTTACAGTTCTATAGTTTCAAATATGCTATCCTGTTACCCAGTAAAATAACACAGATTTCTTACTTTTGCACATTTGATACAGTTTAATGAGTTTCAGAAGAATTTCTTAATTCAAATATCAGACTTTTTTCATCACTACTGTTTTTGAAAGGTCTTGAGATGTAGTAAAATGTCTCAATAATTGTTTCAAAATTTTTTAATAATTTTAAGCTGTTTCTGAAAAAAAAAAGGTAGGTAGGTTATAGTAAATTGAAATATTATTTTTAAAGTTGTTTCAGTATAATTTTTCTTCCAGGAAAGAAACTCCCATTTGTATTATATATTTAAGCTGAAAATTTAAGCATGATGAATGAAGTAACAGCAGGTATTACGAAATGTATTGTAAATTGTTAATGTTGTGCTTTTTAAGAAATGCGTGACTGTAAATATCCCTGATTTATATGACTGCAGAGAAATAATTTATCTTTGCTCAGATCACTGTGTTTCCTGTGATTCTGGTCTTGCACAAGAAATACAAGAAAGGTCAGACCAAAGGTCTGTGTATTTCAGTGTCCTGTCTTCAGCACTGCCTGCAGTCACACAGCGAGAGATGAAATCACAGTAAATGACCTGATAGCAATTATTTTTCTAGGAAATATGTAACTTTGTAATTTGTCTCCACAGGACTCCCCTCTAAAAGCTGTACAAATGCTGTGGGTCAATCTAATCATGGACACCTTTGCCTCACTTGCTTTGGCCACCGAACCTCCAACAGAGGCTCTATTGCTAAGAAAGCCATATGGCAGGAACAAACCTCTTATCTCCCGTACCATGATGAAGAACATTCTGGGCCACGCTGTTTATCAGCTTACTCTCATATTTACGCTTCTTTTTGTCGGTAAGAAAGATTGTGAGGCTTGTTGCCTAGTTTAGAAGCATCTAGGTCTTGTAGCCCGACATGTCAAAATGCTTTAAATGCAACCACTTAATGTACATATCTATCTGTCATAGTTAAACAGCTAACAGGACTGAGCTGTTTAATGGGATCAGAAACAACAGGGGAAAGAGAACAGATGCAATAAAGGGGTTTAGTCACTTTTCATATGTGGTTTCTGTTGGGACGGGCCTCACTGAGTTTTTTTGCCTCCTAATAAAATGTAGGTTTGGGCTTTGGCAACAGTTACAGTAAAAGTTTATGTTACATTTTAATGGGAGTATCTAGCCTGATGCTTCTATACTGGAATTTTATTCTGAGGCTTGTCAGCTTTAGTAGGCATGTAAGAACACATTAAAAAAAAAAAAAAACACCCTACAACAAAAATCAAGATCCATTTTACCAATATCTGGAGAAGCTATAATCGGGAATGAAATGTTTGCCGTAGTCAAGAAATAATGCTGATCTTAAGCAGTATAGATAAGCTAGTAATCAGTATTAAGTGATACAAATAACACTGTATTTTGACATTTAATATCTAGAATGGATATTAAAAGGGGAAAAAAATCTGATTTATTAGATTACTGTGTCTTCTTCAGGTCTCGCTAGCTATGGATGCTTTTTATAGGTTGTATTTTGGAGAGTGGGGGAAAGGAGGAGGAACGTTTCTTGCTGCAGGGAATAGTAGGGGCTAATAATAGATTCTGTTGCTCCACAGTAAGTGAAATTGCTCAAAGGACGGATAATTTTATCAATTTGGTATTGTGTTCTTGTCACTATGTCATCACTGTTAAATTACATGTTTTGTCTTTCAGATTTTTTCTTTATATACAGAATTCCATATAAGCTGTAAATGTAAATTCATTATTCTTACGAGTGTTTTGAGCTCTGTTGTGAAAGCCTTGCTCTTTGCCAACAACTGGCATCTTATTTGGAATGCTCAAAGGAGGTGATAGTCTGTTTACAGAGGAGTTATTTAAACCAAAATAATTGCCAGGTTTTGAAGAGAGATGGTCTGTAATAAGCTTACGGTGTATTTTGAGAATGTCTACCGAGTGTAAGGAAGTTGTAATTTCAGATTCTCTAAAACAGGTGTAGAAGGTCTTGGTAACTCACATGATATTAATCTTGGAACAAGAACTGTGAACTTTATGGGGAGTTTTAATGGTTTTTTGATGAGTTTTATGGTTTAAAATACTTTATAGTGTGCCCTGATGAAAAGAAAACCAGGCTTTTTCACTCTGTTCTAATTACTTCTGTGTAATCTGGGAAATCTGTCTCTGAAAAACCCATGCATACTATTAGGGATGCAACCCAACCAATTTTCTGATAAGCCCAGGAAATGCAGTCTTTTCCTTTCTAAGCTCCACAGGGCTCAGCTTTGCAGTGAGATGATGTTCTAAACTCAGTATTTCGATAATTAAGTTCCAAATTAATTAGAACTATTTATATTTTGATCAACTAATACTTCATTTTTTGTTGGAGGTTTCTGTAGAGACTAGTACATCAAGTTTTTCTATGATGTGGCAGAAAACCCATTGTGTTTGAACATACAGTAATGCCTTTGAGACATCAGGCACATCAGAAATTCAAAGTCACTGTCTAGTTCTGTCAAACTGTAGCATAAAAAAACCTCTTAACCTCAGCAACTAGGTGTAATGAACTTAGAGTTGATCTATTATAAAGCCTTTTGGAACATGTTTGGAAATAAAAACTAGTTATGGGTTTAACCACTGCCATTCCAGAATAGCAGCGTGTTCTGCTTTGCCAATTAAGTGATGTAATGCAATAATAGAGACCTAAGGACAGGTACTCTCACTGAGGAAAGTATTATTCATGTATTTATGTTTGTGTGTGTATTCAATGAAAGCAAGTAGATGTAATGTATGTATATATGTGTGTGTGTATCTGTAAAAGATGATTATATCTGTTAGCTTTCATTATTTTTTTCCTTTATTGTTTATACATAGTAAGGGGAGTGTTTTCCAATGCTTAGTTATCTCTCTGGAGATGCATTATCTTCTTAAAAATCTCTGCTCTCTCACAGCCTAAGTTTTGTGGCCTCATACTGTTACTGATATATTTGTGATATTGTAATCTACTCTCTGTCAAAAGACTATAAGCCAAATTCTTTCTTAGGAAACATGCTCATTATTCCCATTGACTTGAATATGAACTGCTCAAAATATCCCAAGGCAAGAAATGTTCACTGTTAACTTAGCTGATGGAATTAACAACCTCAGGAGAAAACCCGAGGAGACCTTTCTTCTTTCTTCAGAAATTCGGAATATAATGCTAGTGGGATAGCAGAAAAATGGTCAAGTTTTAATTTGCTTTTATTAGCAAAACACTGGTTATGAAAATGAGTAGTATTGTGATAATCCTTCTTACTCTTATTTCATTAATTATTTGCACTTGCATGTGAATGCCCCATCCTTACTTTAAGGCAATGCCTTTTCCAATAACTGTGTCCTGTCTGTAAACTTTGCATAGAAGAAAGTGGATGAAAAATTGGACATGAGCTGGCAATGTGTAGTTGCAGCCCGGAAAGCCAATCGTATCCTGGGCTGCATAAAAAGGAGTGTGGCCAGTAAGTCGAGGGAGGTGATTCTCCCCCTCTGCTCCACTCTTGTGAGACCCCACCTGGAGTACTGTGTCCAGCTCTGCTGTCCCCAGTATAAGAAAGCCATGGACCTGTTAGAGCAGGTCCAGAGGAGAAGCCACAAAACTCATCAGAGCGCTGGAACAGCTGCCCTGGGCAGAAAGGCTGAGAGAGTTGGGGTTGTTCAGCCCAGAGAAGTCTCTGGGGAGACCTTATTGTGGCCTTTCAATATATAAAGAGGGCTTGTCAGAAAAACACAGAGAGGCTTTTTGCCAAGGCCTGGCGTGACAAGAAAAGGGGCAATGGTTTTAAACTGAAAGAGGGCAGGCTTGCTTGGACATAAGGAAGAAGTTTTTTTACAGTAGAGAGTGGTGAGACACAGGAAAAGGTTGCCCAGGAAACACTGTGTATGCTCCATCATTGGAAGTGTTCAAGGCCGGGTTGGATGGGGCTTTGAACAACATGATCTACCGAAAGATGTCCTTGCCTGTGACAGCGGGATTGGACTACATGATCTTTAAAGGTCCCTTCCAACCCAAACCATTTTATGTTTCTGTAAGAAAGGAGGTCCCTTAGGTGCAGGTATCTTTTTAAAAATTGTCTGATTTTTACAGGTACTCATTATGGGTTGTATCTTGCTTTATTTATTGGTCATATCTAAAAGCTATAGTCAAATTATAAAAAAAAAAAAAGAGCAATGCCTGATGCCTGATGGTGTGCTTTCAAAGCAGACTAGCAGAATGATCAAAACCAAATCCATTTAAAACCAGGAGTGTCTGTGGTTTTTATCACAAATATCCTTGAATATTTTTCAAGAGTTATGCTATACTGGATTGGCAAATGGGTAGAACTGCTGAAGAGTGGTTGCTTCTAATTGTAGAAAATTGCAAACATACAGTCAGTTGTCTCGAGTGCTTGGTACCTCAGAAGGAATTGACTTCTTAGAATAATTACTACTTGGTTAGAGGAAAAGTACAACTGGAAACTATTTGAGTAGGTTTCCTGAGTTATAAGATAAAAGTCGTAATTTGAGAAGCTTCTTGCTCAAGTTTAGATGTCTTTTGCTCACTGGTATTATAAATTCTGCCTGTATTATAGTAAGTGCAGAAAGAAAGCTGGTAAAGGCAGAGTACAGGAGGCAACTAGCTAAAGCAAACAAGGGAAATATAAATTTGATTATTTTATTCTAGTGGAAACCTTTATTTTTGTCTTATACCTAGGTGAGAAAATGTTTAAGATCGATAGTGGGAGGAATGCACCACTTCACTCTCCTCCTTCAGAGCATTACACCATTATCTTCAACACCTTTGTCATGATGCAGCTTTTCAATGAAATCAACGCACGGAAAATCCATGGCGAAAGAAATGTGTTTGATGGCATCTTCAGAAATCCTATTTTTTGCACTATTGTCCTGGGTACCTTTGCTATTCAGGTAATGATTTGGGCAACAATTAGTAACTATTCATCAGAAATTTACCTTAAGGTTTTTTTCCCTGTTTATTTGGGTTTTTTTTAAATCTAAATGCTGTAGGAGGCATACTTAATAGTAAACCACCTGGTTTCATATATTTTCTCAATCAGTACAAGTGTCAGTAATGGAAAATGTTATGTAGCTGTACTAATACAGCATAAATTTTGATCATGATAACTAGGTCAAATCTTAAATTAATCTGAAGATGTACAATAATAACGGCCATAATGATTTGTTGGTATTGTAACTGGGTTTTTTAGAAGAAATTATTAAATAGTATACCAAACATTTTACGTTAATTTACTGCTCTATGAATAGAGCCTTCAAATAGCTAATGCTGATCTGTTCTTCTGAGGCTAAATGCTCCTGCTAAATGCTACTTGATGTTCTCGGTAATACTACTATTTGGTAATAATTCTTCACGTCCATCTTGTGAGTTTGCTGTCCTGGTAATATGTGAACATAATTACAGAAATAACCTCTTTTCCCAAAGAGTTGTAACTTTTCTTCCGTAAGAACTCTAATTCCTCCTTCTGCTCCTGTATCCATCATTTTGCTGGCATCTATCCTGTACCATCTGACATTACATTTTAGAAGTCTACTGCAGCCCTCACAATTGCTTAGAGCTGAGCTATTTCCGTCTTGACATTACTGCTCAGTTCTGCAGTGGCCTCCTGGAAGCTATCAGTATTGGGACCTGTCTCATGGAAGGAGTAAGGAGGAGGATAGAGCTATTTGAATCTGGGCTGTAGTGGTTTGAAACGGGAAAGGGGAACCACTCAATAATCTAAGTACAGGAGAAAAGGACACCAGTGATTGGTAGTAGTAGAACTTTATAGTGATGGGCTTTAACACCCAGTTCAAAAACACGGGTTTACTAACATGAACTGAAATGCCTCTGGGAGAGGCCTGACAAATTCACAATCATCTTTTTTTTTTTTTTTTTTTAGCCATGGAGAATGTTTGAGGATGTTTTCTTAGTTCTAGGCATTGCTGTACTCAGTTGTCTGGCTGAAGGAAAAGTGTCACCTAGCTGCCAGCCACATGTCTGAATCCCTGGTGATTTTACTGGCTCTTCCCTGCTTTCCTAGTAGCTGAAATACTGAAGTGCGCAGTTCAAAACACTAGGTTTGCACTCTGACAGTGAATCAAAAAGGACATTGTAGCATGAGTACTAAGGCTCTGCCTCTTACTTGCTTTTAAGTCTCTTTTTAAATTAAAATCAGGTAATTTTTCTTGGGACATCAGAAGGTTAATCTTTCTATTAATTTTCCACTTTGTTTATTGTGTTGTGGAAATATAGCTTTGCATAATGTTGCTTGCTGAAGTGATGTCAGAAGAGTATTTATTATTTTGGCTGTTTTAATAGCTGGATGTGTGAACCAAGCATTTAATTCTAAAAAGAAAATTACTGTCTTCAGGAGCTTGGATTATGTAGATGGATATGGCAGATTACAGGAGTGCTTTAATTTCATATTTTAAATTTATTAGTTCCGTATGTATTTACTACACTTTGTGTGAAGTACAGACTAATTGGCTTTGATATGTCATCTTTTGAGTGTAATAGTTCCATTAACTATTAGTTAGTTTAGTTTAGTTTAGTCCTCCTAAACCCGTACAAAAAGAAAAAAGCCAGCAGCAGTGGCCAAATTGTTAAATTTAAAAATATGGAAACTGTTACAATGCATCCTCGAAAAGGATCAGAAAGTGCTTCTGTGAGAGCCACAACAGCTTAAGAAATAGAAGGGTAGTTACCACTCCTCTCCTCAGACAAGCAATAGCTTACTTTTATTTTTTAAATTCCTTGCTGTGCTTTCAGAATAAATAATTTTCACTGTAATGGAAGATGGATTAAAATATGCCATACCTACCCTATAGCATTTAGAGATTTCTCAATGTGGAGTTGTAATTTCTTTCTTATAATTTTAGCATCATATTTACAATTTTTGTTTTGTCTCCTCCTTTTTCCTTACTCCCTCCAATCATTTTCCCACTTCCTATCCACTGCCTTCCATTCCCTGTCCCCTTCCTTTCTCCTGTGTAAAGGAACTGCTTCATGTATTAGTGTTATTTTGTATCTTAGACTGCACAAATTACTTTGAACTTCTGTTTTGAAGCCTTTGACAGTTTAAATCTCTGGCTTGTGATTTCAGGTCCCTGGTTTTGCTGCAGCACTACTAACAAAAAAATATCAATAATACCTGATTTTCAGTTAGCAAACCCTTCTCAATATAACCAGGCTTAGAAACTTGTTCAGATTCTGTGTGTGTTGGTTATCCTGCTGCAAGGTGTGTGGTTTTCCCACCTTCTTTCTCCAACAGGACTAGACTTTGGTATACTATCAGTCTATCCATGATAATTTATATCTGTAAATGTCTAATAAAATGTTAATTAGAGGGAAAAATCTCTCATGCAGTGGACATTCCCAAAAGAACTACATCAGGGTCAACATATCCCCAGCTGAGAATACTAAGAAGCCGGGAGAATACATGGGGACAGTCCTGTTTTCTTTCTTCCTGGGCATTCATGTATGATATTGTTAGATATGAAGCTAAGGAAGCCTCAGTTTGAACTGATATGGCTTTATCTGACCTTCAATTCAGGGTGCATAGGTTTGTGTGGTTTGTTTTTTAGTGAAGGAGACCCTGCAGCTTTTGCTGGATGGGTTCCAAAAATGTACTTCTGGTAGCTTGACTTACTGCCACCTAAGAGTGTCAAATGACGTATTTGGAATATAAGATTGTACTTTTGGGTGTTCTTTAGATTCAGTCCACTAAACAACAGATTGTTAGTAATGTGTTTGATTCTTCTACTGGTAAAATAAATTTGAATCAAACCAGCAGAGCTGTAAGACAAAGTAAAATCTCCAGTAAAATATGACTGAAAGTTGTTGGGTTTTGGGTTTAGTTTTTTGGTTGGGTTGGGGGGTGGTGGGGTGGTGGTGGTGGTGGTTTGGTTTGGTTTGGTTTGGTTTTTTCCCAGAAAATATTTATCCCCTTTCTTCTCTGCTTTTCTTTGTAGATAGTAATTGTCCAGTTTGGAGGAAAACCATTTAGCTGTTCTCCTCTGCAGCTTGACCAATGGATGTGGTGTGTATTTATTGGATTAGGAGAACTTGTATGGGGTCAGGTAAGCATTCAGGAATATGCAGATTTATTTCTTTTGTTTTTATAAACCAATCTAAGATCTGATATTGTTCATAATCCTACTATACTGTTGTTTCCTGGATCTTTCACTATGTCATATTTAGCCCACATTGAAATACAGGGTGCTCTCTAAGTACTTCAAGAATAGATTCAGTTGTAAGGATGATTTATCCCGCTGTTCCTTTTGATTTTTGTTAATTTTCATATATTTCCTTTCCCTAAGCAGGGTGTGCTATCACCAAGGTCTTCTTCAGTTAGGCTTTTTTGTGAAAGACAGTTGATTCATAACATAGCTCTCTAGTCATAAAAAAGGGCAAATGCACTGTAACCGTCCCTACAGTAGAGCAGCCAATGCAGCAAGTGTATGTTCTGTCAGTCCATGGTAGCCTTGTTACTGGCATAGGATTAAGTCCAGTGCATTTAATATACACCCGCAGTGATCCTCCATCCACCTACTTCTGTGAGTGAAGGATGGAAAAGGGGATGAAAGAAAAAGGATTTTTTTCTATAATAGTTCCAGAAAAGTACAGTTTAATGCATGTGTCATTTTAAAGCTCTGTTACAACCTGTGTCATCATTAGATAATATAAAATTATATATTGATGTAGAAACAGGTGTCAACGAGATAAGTTATGGGATTATCTGTCTAGAAGTAATAAGATAGATATAGTCAGTATTGTTAAAATACTACATTATTCTTTTATGTACGCATATTGCAAAGTTAATAATAATGATGATTTTTTTAATCTCTGAATGCGTTATTAATGTGTTTAAGTTGATGCCACCTGATGCAGTAAAAAAATATATGAAAAATGTGAAATTACGTTTTGCCTGTCAGATACAAAGATACATATAGATCAACGAGTTTCCCACTATGAAGAAACAGCCAAGAAGTTGCCAACTGCAATGGGATACTGAAATGGTTCTGATGGAATTGTAATTAATAGATGCTAGCTTTCAAAACTGTTTATTTGTTCTCTTGTGGAGAAAATTAACTTTTTGGACAGATGGGCCTCAGATTTTTTTGAAGAAATAAGAGTTATGACAGCTTTTAATGCATATGTTGCTGAAAACCACTACTATTATATTGTTCGAAGGTAATTATTACCTGAAGATGGGATTGGATTTATGACCTTGCAGGGGGAACACCTAAAATGAGTTTGATAAGTCTTAGAAAGAAAAGATTTGTTTTGAACTGGTTGGGAAATACTGACTTTGGGAGGGGGGAAGAAAAGCAGGGAAAGGGAGAAAAATCCTAGCAGTTTTATTAGATCATTTGACTGTGACAGCCTTTGTTCAGTGTACTCTTTGGCTTCTGAATGTTGTTATGTTACTACATAACCATTGAAAACTAAGAGTAATACCAGCATCTGTTTTCAGTTTAAAGATGGGCATAGTTGCCCAAGCCTTATTGTGAGAGGCTAGCCATTAGATTAGAACACCTCAACGATTTTATTGCTGAAAAAAACTACACTTTTACATGAAGCAAATATACATGAAAATATTTTTCTTTTGTGGTCAGTATTTAGTGACCAGAAAAGAAAAACACAAGCTAAAAAAATGCATTATTTACATGATTTACAGTCTGTTGCAAGTCCTCTCCTCATCGAGTTCTGCAGAAAGAGAGACTTTTCCTTCTCTTCCTTCTCAGCCTTTTCTCTCCTGCTATGACTAATTCTAGTTCAGCACAAAACACTTTTGTTATCCCTTTGTTTTATCAGAGTCTCCTGAACCTGCTGTTCTTGTGAACCACTAAAACCAATCAAGACTTTCAAGTTCAGATGTTAGGGTTGACACTTTTAAAAAAGTGATTTAAGATGAAGACAATAGGAAGCCAGCCTGAGATGCTTTGAGGGACGGTTTTCTAAAAAGAACACCAGGCCTTTCTAAAATATTTCATGTTACGTTCCCAGAACTATTGATGACTTTTGAAGGCCATGATAGTTTTCTTGGGAGTAATATTTAGTTTCTTAATCTACATCCAGTCTATTGAGTCTGCCATTACCTGAACTGGGCAGGTATCTGCAGATGTGGAAAAAAAATGAACAAACAAAAAGACATGTAAACACCCTAAGAAAAGAATTAGAGCAGAATCTATCAGCCTGCCTGAGAGGCTGTGAAGTAGAAGTGTGTTCCATCACACAGAATCACTACCAAATACAGTTGTTTCTATGTGTACTGTCTTGCAAGTACTTCACTGCCATCAGTTTCATCAGATACCGAACAATCTCAAGTAGCTTCTTTCTGTAGAGTGCTGGCATTATAGTGTTTTGAAAGCTGGGAAGCTGAAGCAGTTTCAGTAAGTATTTAAATGACTAGCACTAAAATTTTTCTTTTTTTCTTCTGTTCCGTCTTTGCTCGTGTCACACCAATTCATTAATTTTACAAGTTTATATTGTGTTTTTGAGACTCCAAAATGAAGTTTTAAAAGGTTCTGTAGTAGTGTAGAAACTGGGGTTTTTTGTCATTTCTTTATCTGTCTTTAAAAATAATATAATAAAAGTGGAGTTATAGATCATGAAGTTCAAGCACACCCTCTGTAAACTCAGCAGGTTTTTTTCATCCTGGAAATATTTGGTGCCTTTTCATGTGTCTTCACTATATCCATTCCAGTTTTCCAAAACCGTAAGATATATCCTCACCAAGTTTCCTGCAAATGTCTGATTCTATCTCGGTCTTTCACAAAATTGGGCTTCAGAGATGTGATTGCTCACTGCTGAAACAAAGAGCAAAAGAAAGGAAAATTGTAGCACTTTTTTTGCTAAACGGGTCTAATAGTTAAGTTTGTAGGGAATTTTTTTTTTTTTTAAAGCGTTCAATATGTTCCAGGCAATGTCTTGTTTAAATAGCCATCTGTTCATATTTTTACTCAAGCTGACAAAAGAACTCAGAACAGAGATAAAATTACTGCCTAAGAGGGTAATACTGAAATGTATTTAAAATAATTGGGTTATAACATTGTCTAACTACAGTATTTGCAAATTTTTAAGATTATTGGGCATCTCCTGTATTAATTACTTCCAAAGACCGCTTTGGTGGACAAACAGAATAAGAAGAGGGGCTGAGTTAATTAATCAGAATTATCCTGTCAGTAATAAGGATAGCCCTGTAAGAAGTCCAACAGGTAGATAATCAAACCCACATCTTTAAGAAACCTTATTTTTGATAAATGCTGACAAAAGCATTTCAACTTGCTGAAACAAAGGGAAGCTGAATACAGAACCAATGTAGTGTGAGAAGATTTATGAGATGCAACTAATGTTCAGCCCACATTAACATACATTAGCTGAAAGAGGCTAGGTTTAGATGAGATATGAGGAAGAAATGTTTTCCTGTGCAGGTGGTGAGGCAGTGGCCCAGGCTGCCCAGAGAAGCTGTGGATGCCCCATCCCTGGAGGGGTTCAAGGCCAGGCTGGATGAGGCTTTGGGCAACCTGGGCTGGTGGGAGGTGTCCCTGCCCATGGCAGGGGGTGGCACTGGATGATCTTTAATGTCCCTTTTGACCCCAACCATTCTGTGATTATCAGACAGTAGAAATACCCAAACTCTAACTGCAGAAGTATCAGTCTTGCTAAGCTTTCTTTAAATAATTGCATTCAAATATTTATATCTTCTTTTAGTTTTTTGAGAAAGGACAAATTTTTTTCCAGCCTTAAACTTGCTCCATAGCTATGTATTGCCAATGTGGTTCAATGATGCAAGTAATACTGATTGTTTACACAGTAAACTTAAGTGTTTTTGGACTAAAATGGAGTTGTACAAGTGTAACATACTATTATGAATGTGCTTATCTTAGCTTTCCTGAAAGCTCATTAAAATATCAGTGTTCTTTTGTAATTAGCAGATTATTATACTATTGTTACTGAATTAGGTTTATGTTTTCAGTACTTTTTTATAATTTTAGGTCATTGCAACCATCCCAACAAGTAGGCTAAAGTTTTTAAAGGAGGCAGGGAGGCTCACTGAGAAGGAGGAGGTCCCTGAAGAAGAACTCAATGAAGATGTTGAAGAAATTGATCATGCAGAGAGAGAACTTCGCCGTGGACAAATTCTCTGGTTCAGAGGGCTCAACAGAATCCAAACCCAGGTATGTTAAAAGTAAACACCCACATGGTCTAGACAAAAAATGCTTAATCTTTGATCAAAGCAAGATAATGTTGTAAGGAAAGCCACAGAGCGTTTGTGCGTGTGAATGGTGGTACTTGTTCATTGCTTTACTATTTTCAAAGGAGGAACACATGAAATAGTAAAACAGGTGAACTGAACAAAGGTGTGTATGTATAGCAGATGAAGTGAAAAGATTATAAAATGGTAATATGCAAAAATAGGAATACTTTTTTTTGAGACTACTGTGAATGGACATTCTTTTTCTTCTTCAGTGACGACAGCTTATAAAATAGTGCCACTTGGAAACTGCTAGCTGTGGCAACAGCTAGCAAAATGTTATGAAGGCTTTCTAAAACATACTGGTTCATTTTGTCAAAAATATATTGTTGCTGCCACTTCTGTGATAACACAATAATTTTAATTGCTGAATGTAAAGTATAAAGTTCCATTTGATCAAAAAAAAATACTTTCTTTTTTCTGGCACTACCATATATATGACTAAAAGGAATTTATTTTCTTTCCTATTAGGTAATAAAAAATGAGGTTCTGTATTTATTTTTAGTAGTAACGGCCTAAGCATCCATTAAATATTGAAATGTATGTGCTGGCTACTATGGACGATTTCTTAGAACTATCTGTCTTTTTTATTTAAAGAAAACCCCAAATTTTGCTAAATTCAAAAATCCGTGGCATTTTTTAATATACTAATTACTTGCACTGAATCATGATGCTAAATATAGTACAGATTGGCATATCTAGTAAAATTTGTCCTGTAGTGCTAAAAAAAGTATTTGAACTATTTTGCCTTTTTTCATTGCGGTGAAGTAGCATGTTTTATAGCACTATAGTTCTCTCCACTTGATCCTTCTAAGATCAAGTATTTGTGCCAGCTTGCAGAAGAGAGCAGCTCTGATAGACAGCTATGTACTCTCCATATCAGATGCAAATGTTTTACATGATGCTTACAAGAAAAAGAGGTGAATAATTAAGAAAAAGATTTTTTTTCTTTAAAGCGTCTCTTAAAGACTATTTTTATCTCAGATGACTTTGATTTTGCCTTCATTCAAGATAAACAGTACTTTCTCCTTTTTTCCATCCACAAATTGATACTTTTTTTTTTTTTTTTTTCTGGAGGAAGAGATGCAGCCATGCATTTTAGAAAAAAAACCAAAAAAACACAAAAAAAAAAAAAAACAAACAGAGGAGAGGAGTTTACAGAAGCTAGGAGAGTTAGGTCACTTTAACACCTCTGTAGAGCAAAAAAGAAGGAGGATGGAAACTGCCTTTGGAGAGATTAAGGGTTTGGGTAAATTCCCAAGGTTTCATGGTAAGTAATTAAGTACAGATCTTCAGTTTTGGGGTTCTATTGATGAGTTAGGAGCACTCATCATTAGAGAAAATTCAAATTGTCACAGTATAAAGGTGGCAAACAGGTGCCCAGGTAGTGGTGATCTTTAGGAAAAGATGACCTCTAAATGTGCATTCTTTTCTTCCCAATGGCTATAGGAGGAGTGTTGCCTGTTGGCATTTCTGTCAGGATGTCTTTCTGGTTGTGGTGAGTGCAAACAGCTACAAGCACAAAAAAGCAAATTACATCCTTTCAGTTCTTTTTCTAGTCTGAGGAGTAGCTTTTAGTTCTTCTGCATATCTTTGTCCACTTAATTAACAGAGAAATTATAATTCTTTTATACTATTTAAAACAAAATGAATATTAATTATATTTCTTTGCTAACAGCCATCTTCGTAGTTTCCTTTCTTCTCTTAGTTGTAGAATATCTTTGGTAGGATGTATTGTTTCTGTCCTGCCAAGAGGCCTCTGATTTTTTTTGTCATTTTGTTTATTCAGTGACTTTGATTTTTACATGCATTTTGCATCTGTGAAATGATAATGAAAAAACAAAATGGGTCAACAGATTCAAAAAGAGTTCCAAGGTGTCCACTGGAAAGTGATGAAATTCCATGCAGGTCAAATTAGATCCATTGTTGGATGGACCTTGAGTTGAGTGCTATGTGTTATGGCCCATCCAAATGAATTCATACACTTGTACTACATTTCTCAGGAAGCCAGCTAAAGAAGAGTTGATGGAAGAAGATGAGGATGTCTGTAGCATCCTTGGGGAGCTGGAGGATTTGCAAGAATCCTCTGATGTCTAATGCACTTCTGGAGATACGGAAGAAGAAGGTAGAGCATCCCCTCACTTTATATATATAAAGAGGATGACAGATTAGGAATAAACTCTAGATTCTCTTGACTAGGTTGATCATTCAAATCCTAACAAGACCAGTTTCCACCATCATATTAGATTATCTTTATTTTTGCTTATTTTCTATTCAGTCATTATTGGACAGACAGCCACAGCACTCAACAAAAGCCTTCACTTCTAAAAAAGCTATAAAGAATCTACGATAGGGTTTTTTTTCAGATGACTGAAAAATCTCCCTTGGAATGCTTCAGTAAAATCTCATCCAAAATGACAAAAACTTTGCAGTACTAAAGACATTTTTTTTTTTTTCGAACCCTCGCTCAAAACAGAGGGTTCAAACCTAGACACCAGAGAAAGGATTTCCACTGTTGATTCTTCATACTGAAATGTCAGATGTATTTCTGTGAAAAGACATGCGTGAATTTAGTTTAAAGAAAGGTGTATAAGAAATGTACGTAGATAACTCAGAGACTCACTATCTACTTCTGATTTTCTTTTTTTATTTGTCTACTTTTGTTCATTTAGATATTTTGTTGTCTTATACTGTAGAGACTCTCTGGATGGATGCGTGTTCTCCTCTGAATGCAAGAGTGTTTCCTTATTAGATAGCTCTCTCAGAAGACCACTGATGTATGAAGTTTCACAAATTACTAATCCTAGTTATGCAAGTTTCAGAAAGATATAATGGTGGTCTCAAATTGCATAAAAGACAGGACTTTTCAACCTCTGCTAGTTTTCAGCATTTTTTTTCCAAGTCTTTGTTACAATTCTCACAAATTCTTCATTCTGAAGGAATAAAAGAGTTGAGAGAAGACTTGATCCATACCATCTTGGCAGAATAGCCTTTGAAAGTTCAGCAAATTCACCTTCAGGCAAAACTGCGTAATCTGAGTAACAGCCAAAAATCATTGCATCTTTTTTAATTGTATACTGGAAGGTTTCTTTAGTTACCTTACATTTGAGTGTGGAAAAATTGTGAAGTGTGGAGGTTTGAAAACTTTTCAAGCCACATGTCAGATTTTTACACCACCAGGCCTGATTCTTTCCTCTTCTGCTTCATTCATCCTGCAATTCAGTTTGCTTTATCTGCTTAAGGTGGGAAATAACTGTCTAGAATGTTTTGGGAATAAAAGCAAAAACTGAAAAATATACAGATGCCATGTTCACTGCTACTGAAAAAAAGGTTATCCCTCTTTAGATAGAGGTGCTGTACTTAATTTTCTTTCCATTCCTTTCTGCGTTAAAACTTTTCTCTTGAACCAATGCAAACCCTATAGCAATGAAAGCCACTCCTGGCAAATGGTTTTGAAGTTAGATAAAAAGCTATCACCTCATTTTATGGCTTTCCATATAGCTTTTACTGTAGAAAACACTGCAGTAGCCATGTAAGTGGAATGGAAGCTGGTTTATTTCATACAGAAAAGATGTTTGGTTTTTTAAAAAATAATATCCTGGTTGGAGATTAGGTGAATGATACCTGATCTTGATGACATTAATGATGATAGAAATGCTTGCTGAAAATCTCTTCTATGTTAAACATCAGAAAAATGTTTGTTCTGCCGGGACTATTCTGCTAGTATAAGATCCTTTATTTTTCTTTTACTGATAATCACTGATATTTTTATTAGCTCTGCATACCTCAAAAATATGGATCTTCTAGAGTATAGAACATAGAGAAGAAATGAAAGAGGAGTGAAAAACTGCAGCCTTACAAATAAGCTTCAAATGTATGACAGTACTTTTTTTCTCTACCTGAAGGCCTATAATCAAAACACGATTGCATCCTATATTTTGTTGGAAATTTTTCAAACTTTTCATGATGTATGACTTATCATTTACTTTCTCCTTTATAGCAACTTGAATCATTCTAAATAAGTGCATTCTTTTGTAATTTAAACATTACATCTTAATTTAAAATGCATTATTTATTTATTTATTTCTATGACCTCTTTCTTCTTTGTTGTCTTATGGTTTCAGAAGATAAACATTTTGGCCAGGGCTTTCTGCTCTTCTTTCGTGGCTTCGGGCAGAACACTGCCCTGTATGTTCAGCTTTTAAGATTCTGGAAAGGTTGTCATCCTCTCCTATGAGTTATATCTGTGAAACTCTATAGTTACTTTCTTGAGCTGAACGAGTAAATTACATGGCTGTAATTCTTGTCCTCTGGAGAAACTATTAAATATTGATCTTCCCTTATCTTTTCAGGCTCATACTAAGGTCTTTCCTTTCAGTTTATTAGGAAGACATTGTACATACAGAAATGCCCTTTGGCTTAGGATTTATCATCTGTGTTTCCACAGTGATACACACTCATGCTCTTACTAAGAGTCTTTAAAATCTTTTTTGAATGGTCTCTTTTGAAGAGTGCTCTGTCACCTGTGTTAGATCATGAACACCCAAGATCTGTATTTAATTCTACTTTTGTGCAGTTAACATTTCAGGTGAGTATTTAATATGCCTTCATATATAACCAATGGTTTGAGCCATATTAGCTGATGATTCATTTGTACCCCGATTCCATGTGCTAACTCACCTCATATTGTATTTTTTCACTGTGATATCTGTATTGGACATGTAATTCAAATATGTCTGCTGCAGAAAACACAGGTAGCAAAGCTGTAAAATGGTGTGATGACTGCTTAATAGTGTACATCTATTAGTGTGCACATTTAAATGGATGTTGTAAAGAGGATTCTCATTGATAAACAGTGGGTCAGTAAACAAATCAGCTGTTCCATGCTTGTATAGTAAAAGTTTAGTGTGGTAATTGTACAGCAGTAACCTTTGATCCCTTTTACAGCTGGATGTGATATGATTATTCCCATTAAAAAAAAAAAAAAAAGCAGGAAAATAAACAATGATGTCCAAAAATAAGATTAGGGGAGAGGATACATCCATACGGTTGAAGATGAAGCCATATGAATTTGTTTATTCCTAAGACTGACCACAGCGGGAATTGTTAGACATATTATAGTGCTTTCAACTTGGAAAATTTAGGAGGGCTTGCACCAAGATTTATGGTGTTTTAATTGACAAATATACCACTTTACCTTCTCCCAGATGCTTTCTAGGCTGTGTATCTTCAGAAATCTGGGTTGCAAGATATAAATCTGGGAACAGTGGGCTACTTCAAAGACATAGTTGGTTGAATTCTAATTGATACTACTACTGATGCTTTGTCATGTTGTGGTTGTACTAATGTAACAGAGAGTACATCTTGGTGTATAGGGATTTGTAGCATATATTTACTCTTTTATATTATCTACTGCCAATCCCTGGCTTTATATTTGTACATAGATCCTGCTTTTTATTGGGTTATACTGGTGATAAAGAATGCCTTGAAATACTCAGCTTTTTTTTAACTCATCTTCTGCGGTGATGAATAAAGCACTAGGGAAGGTATTCAGGATGGATATATCAAACAGTGCATACAATAGACATGAAAATAACAAGTAGAAAATTATAATGTTATTTGCTTCAATAGTCAGACCAGTTCCATATAATTTTCTGTATGATTTTAAGTGCTTTGTATAAAGATAAAATGTTAATATTTTAAAATCTGTAGTTATAAAAGACCAATATTCATTATCACTCTGCTTAATTTGTACAAACTTTCATTATAGAAAAACTTAAATATTGAAACACTTTCTATTTCATCAAGCTAGTATACTAACCACCCTGTTTTTGTAGTCAAAGTGGAGTCATATCTTGAGTATTTTTAAGATTTTTTTTGTTTTGGTTTGGTGTCGTCCCCATCCCATCCCCTAGCCCAGTTCCAATTAAGTGACTGAATTTTCCTCCCTCTGGAAGAACACCTAGAGAGCAATTAAAAAGTAATTTTATTCTGAGTAGAAAAAAAATGTGGAGATTAGCTATATCAAGTATTTCAGGTTTATTTACATATAAATAAAATGGTTTAAATTTTAATGACTGCTATTTCAAATCTTCTAGTTGTTTAAAATGATGCAGCTCCACTGCCTCCTATGGAGCTGTTTCATTTTATCCAGACAGAAAATTTGGATCATGTAATATCTAAAAACATGAAAAGGAACACTTAAAAGTATTTATTTCAACTGAAGTAATACTGTGTGAAAGGTTGATTTGTTGTTTTTCGTTATTATTCCTGTCAGTTATGCAACTGTATCCATACTTTAAGCAACTTGTCTCATTCTTTCCTCCATTACAGATCGAAGTAGTCAATACTTTCAAGAGTGGCACTTCCTTTCAGGGGGCTCTAAGGAGACAGTCCTCCGTCACAAGCCAGACCCAGGATGTAACCAATATTTCTAGCCCTAGTCACGTATCGTTATCCAATGCTCTTTCCTCTCCTACCAGCACATCTGCTGCTGCGGCTGGGCGTGAGTGTGTATTCTTAATGCATCAGACCTACAGAGATGCCAACTTACGTAGCAGTCATTTGAGACTAAGCTACTTTGCCCTTTCCCATTTTGCCCTGTTATGTTTGTTAGTTCACACAAACCCAGAAACACATAACAAGGATTACTTTGTGTACAGTAGATACTCTCCATGATTCATTACAAGTTTTGTTAATTTACTGTTAGGACAGGAATTTCTAGTCATTTTTTATCCAGTGTATGGAGATTCAGATTTTAGTTGAGGCTTCTGTGTCATGTTTTCTCAGTCTTATTGGATATATTTTCTACTGCTTATAAAATATGTACTTTAAATTATTCTACAAATATTAAGCAATACATCTTGTCAGATAAAAGATCATTCCATTTGGAAGACTGTGTGTAATATAGGTCGCTCATGTCCAAGAAAGATGTCCTCTAATTAGCACAGTTACATGAAGGAAGAAGGAAATAGAGAATCTAGTTTATGACGCAAGGCTAAGGGATTAAGTTTTACATGAAAGGTGAAAGAATAGATTTGTTATCTCTAAACTCACTGGCAGGTAAGCATTAAGGAAGGAGGGAGCTAGACAAGGCAAAGGACAGTGTTGAAACAACAAAATAATGTGGTAACAAATTTCTTTGTTAGAAGAAGCAGGTTTCTAAACACTAAAATCCTGGCACAGCTTTCTTTTAGATGCAAATAAAGCATCTAGTGAAGAGGTAGTGAAGTGAATAACAACTTTGAAGCAGCTAATAAGAGAGGGCTGCTTCACCAAGAGTAAAATTCCGGTTGCTCAGGAAGACTCTTTTACAGACCTAACTGTGGTTTTATATTTTGATTTTTATTTATTCAGGACTTTAAGTAGCTATTTGGTTTTGCAGCATAGCCAGCATTAAATAATATTTATATTTATGGAATTCAGTTTACAAGCTTGTCACTTACTTTACAAAGTAATGCAGTATATTCCTCATGGAAGTTTTAGTGAAAAGCTGGCCAAATAGACAAGAAGCCAGTCTTGTCTGTCTGGCCAACAGAGAGAGGGAAGGCAGGCAGAGACAAGGCAGACAAGGAAATAAAATTCCAGAACTCCTGCAGAAAAACAGGAAGCTTGACCTTTCCACTCAGTTTGCATGCAAGCCCCCTCAGTATTTGAACATCAAGCAAGCATTTAGGTACGCATTAGAAGTTTTGTTGGAATTAAAAGCCAAAGGAGAACCTTTGCTTTTGATAGGAATTCAAAGAGCCGTTAAGGTTCTAATTTTGGCAGCTGATCCTTGGAGAAAATTGTATTTTCTCCTGTCTTTTCATGGGAAGTTTGGCCTGATAACTTTTGCTCCAACAGCACCAACCGTTTGGGGCAGCAGCACAACCGATCAAGAGAAACAGAGTCACTGAACTGCGTGCCACTGCTCTGCCACTGGCACTGTAACCCGCTCCTGAGAACTCTGAGCCCAAGTTCCCTTATTTCCATACTGAGCAGGATGCAAAACACCACACACAAACCAGCCTTTCATCCAGGGAACGATTTTCCATTGTAGCATTTCTACATCTGAGCAGAAAATAGAGAGCAACTCATTCTGCTGTGGTAGATGTTTCAATAACATCCTGTAGCCATGTGATGGGTGAGCCCTTGGCTGGGGGCCAAACCACACACCTGCTCACACAATTCCTGCCCACCCCACCTGAGGAAAGGGAGAGAATTAAAGGGGTAAAGGGAAAAAGGACTCATGGGTTGAGATAAGGACAATTTAATAACTAAACTACAATAATATTGAAAAGAATACTATATACAAATATACAAATGAGTGATACACAGTGACACTGCCCCCCCACCCGATGACCAAAGGCTCAGCCTGTTCCCGGCTAACGATCCCGGAGCAGGGAGAGTCCCGAAACTCACAGAATGCAGATGACAGTCCGAGTGTCCCAGACCAAGAGCTGACCGGGGTGTGTGTGTGGGGGGAACGCCTTAGGTGGGTGGCCACCTGGAGCGAGATGATCTGGAGCCAAAAGTGATCCAGAAACCAAAGGGACCCAGAACAAAAAAAGGGCGATCTTCCGCAGGGTCCTCACCTATATACTGGGCATGACGTGTATGTTATGGAATAGATTATTGGCTACTCTAAGTTTCAATCTTGAACCTAAGGTCAAATCCTAAGCTAGTAACCGAGCTGTGTTTCCGCCCTCGTCTGCTGACCTTGGCAGCAGCACAAAACATCGCTTCTTACCAGCTTTCTTCTGAGCACAAATCCAAAACACAGCCTCTTGCTAGCTATTATGAAGAAAGTTAACTCTGTCTCTGCTTAACCCAGGACAAGCCAGCAGTCTGAAAGGACAGATCTAATGAAATTAAAATAGACAATTTATCTTCCCTCTCTTCTCTCCATTGCAGCAAAGCAGCTAAGAATGTAACAGTCTTGAGTCGTGACAAAGGCCTTACTAGGCTATGGGCTGAAGTTAATTAATAGGAGAAAGCATAATCTGCTATGATCTTTGATGTATCTTCATTTGGAAAAATTAAACAGGTCTACAGTGCTCATCAGTTATAGCAACATTTTTTCAGTAAAATAAAGAATGTATGATTGATTTGTTAAGCTACCCAGAGTTATGTATCTTCATTGCACAGCACAGTTAGAGACTGGGCCTTTTAAAGTGGTTATTGGGGACTGTTAGTATTTTATTACTGCAATATAATGTCTGTTTAGTATCAAACTACTGTATGCTCCAAAATATAACCCTTAGGGAAATATTTTATTTATTAATACAATGACACAAACCTAATGAATGACAGTGAAAAAAACAAAGAAAAAAAATTTTGGCTTTTTTTTAAAATTGGCTATTTACAGTTGGTTGTCCATCTTCCAGAACCTGGAAAACCTCTCCTAATCCAAATTTCCTACAATGCAGTATTTTTTTTTTTTTTTATGAATTGGCATTTTCTGAGAAAATTTGAGTTGCAAGATGACACCTAGGTACTTTTCAGCTCCTTTCTTAAAATATATATAGTGGGACAGGACTCACTTCTTTCCTCTTAGCTGCTCAGAATGAATTAAACCCTAAATCATTACCCTCCAGTGGGGTGTAAGGAAATAATGGGATAATTGTACCTCTGATTTTGAAGCCTTCCCCTCTCTTCAGCAATCTTAAAAATATTGCAAATGGTAGATATCATAGATATATGTAGTATATATACATGTAGATATATATGTAGTATCAAGGGAAAACCTTAAGGGTATAGCAAAGAGAAAATGGTCTAATAGTTGAAAGTGCCCAATACAAGATATTGTCAGGAAGGTTTCTTTTCAGAGAAATGGTGCTCACCATGCTGCAACAACCGGGATATTTCAGGTGTCATTTTGGGTGCCCAAAATGCAGAGGTTCTGGTATCAGTACTTAATAAAAAATACAAGAATCACATGATGTTCTGTCAATAAGAAGATGTAAGTCAAATTTAACAGAGCATTTTTGCAGTTCTTTACTAATTGTATAGCTTTTTAATATATGGTTTATTGTGACACCTTGCCAATCTGTGAGATTTTTTGTGCAGATTTATATTAACATTTTTGAATTTAAAAAAACTGAGTTTCTTCTAGTATTTTTGGGCAGATTGATGTTTGATTCAAAGGTTAGTGCATGCTTAAAAAGAAATCTGCCTCTTAAATGCAGCCACATCTACAATAGGCTGTGAAACAGATTAGCAAGTTATTACCTGAAATTTTCAGCTACTCCTAAATATGGCACATCTGAATCTTTCATAGGGTTGTGGAATACCTTAATTAAAAGTAATTTATACAAAGGATTACTTACTACAGTACTAAAGTTTCCCTAGTTCTGCTGATACTTTTTAGCTGTCACAGTGTTTTTGCCAATAACATATTACAGATTTCTGGATGTCAGCATTAATTTGATAACGAGGTCCATATTCCATATGATGAGTCTCTTATCTCTTTTGAAAAAGGCTGCAGCTTTAAATAAACAGAATGAAAATTTCTCCAAACTGAAACCTGGCATTTTATGTACTCTTATAAAAGTAGAACATTTATTTCAATGCAAACTAAATATGCACATAATATTTAATATGCACACATTTAAGCTACAGAAGACGAAAACATGGGAAAAATAAGGTTCTTTATGCAATGCGGTCTCAGCTGGATTCTCAGGTGTTGTCGTGCCATGTGCATGAACACACCGACACACATATACGTGCACAATCTTCTGTCATTGGAAAGCTGTTTTACTAGAGAGTAAAAAGTGGTTTTAGATACCAGGCTATCCCATACAAGCTGGATATGTATTTCCTATGCATTTCTTTCTACATTTTGTTTTGGGAAAACCAAATCAGATCCAGTGGGGCAGTGGAGCAACTTTTTTTACTTCTGAAGTTATGCATTTCTTTCTACATTTTATTTTGGGAAAACCAAATCAGATCCAGTGGAGCAGTGGAGCAACTTTTTTTACTTCTGAAGCTCAGAATTAGTAACAGAATTAGTGCTTAAAATTAAGTATATGCTTAAAGCCTTTGTTACTACATTACTTAATTGGGTAGAGGATGAGTAGATCTAACTGTACACAAAGTAAACAAATTATTCTTTACCCTAATCTGTTTATAGCTGGTTCTCAGATGTTGTGTATATTATCAGTAGGTAACCCCTTCAAAAGAACATGGTTTAAAATTTTCCAAGAAAGATGCACATTTATTCCTTTGTAGTTGCTCTTCCTCCTTCCTCTCATTCTCATATATAGTTAACACTGTTCCTAAGCAGAAGCAGCCAGAAACTGCAGGTCCCTTACAAAAAACCTCCTTTCTTTCATAAAAGATTATAATTTTAAAAATATTGTTAAATGTAGGAAACATTGGGGGAACAATAAACAAAACCAAACCCCACCAAAAGGCAACCTCCCAGATTATGAATCAGTTGTAGTTTCTGTATTTGCAAGTTCTCTTTTTTGTTCTGTTGAGGTCTGTCATTTTTGTCTGACATTTTTAGAAGTGAGTATTTCATGGAATCACAACTTTTTATTACATTAACTCTAGCAACAGTGGCCTCAAACAAGCCACTTGTAAGGATGACACAGGAAAAAAAATACACAGTGATGACTCCATATTTTATAGCAGACAATTAAAATCTTACTAAACAATCACAAAATATTCTCAGAAATATTTGTCCATCATCCAGATCTCCAGATCTTTGCAGGGTTTTTTGGGTTTTTTTTGTTGTTGTTGTGGGTTTTTAAAAAGTATTTTCAAGGAAAAGAAGAGCATAGCACCCTTAAGCATGTATTTTTGCTCTGGTTCACTTTTTGGAGGGAGCTACAGTTTTCAAAAGTGGGGCTAATTTGCATGGGAAGACAACTTTTTTCATTCTACCTTTAATTAAAAAATAGTTGAGATTTATCAGACTTGACAAGAAACTGTAATTTATAGGTAGAAGCTT